GTGATATGTCCTTTACTTGTCTCATAGGGCATAGATATTTTAAAGAAAGCTACATTCTTTGTGGGACTCATGAAATAATTTGTGCTGACTCAAAATTGAATATGTTATCAAACTTTTATTTACTTAATAGCTTATTACTCAGTTTAATTTTTGAGGAGTTTATTTTAGATAAAGTGAAACAAAACAGAGCAGAGATTTATGTTATATTTTTGCAAAAGCTATGCTATTTCCTTAAGGCAAGATAATTTTAAAGAAATGGATATACACACACACTCTTAAGTGGTTAAATTCTTCATTGTATATGCTATCACATACTTTTCTTGATAATTTTTCCAAAATACTTTGGATTTTGTTACATCAAGTGGCTCTATCTGCCTTTGACCCAAATATTGCGCTCCTAGAAGATAAAATATAGTGAAAATTTATAAATGTGTATTAGTCCAAAGTCGTAGTAAGGGTGAATTTAGTGAAAATTTATAACGGTGTGATGAGTCCAAAGTCGTCGTAAGGGTGTCGGGCAGATATCCATCATGATGAGGAGTTAATATCTGTATCTGCATTACATTTTAATTGATGGTTCTGTCTGATATTTGAAAAGCGTTAAATTGCTGATGTCCATGTGATGGAATGACTATTGTCAAACTGAAAATGAAAACTCTGCCTCATCACTGCAGTGGTTTTTAAGTGATTTGCAGGGAAACGACTTTGAATGTTTGTATTAGAGGTCAGAAATAACAATCTCACGTTTTTATAGTAACTCCTATGTGCCAAGTATTCCTTCAATATAAACCATGTTCTACAATTTATTTTTTGAAAAAAGCCTTTAGAGAGACTCTGGTTCATTAAAATGAGAGGGGAAAAAATCAAGAAAACCACATTGAGACAATATTAAGTAAATTAATCAATAATACATGAACTGAATAAAGAAGTAAATATAGTATCATGTAATGATAGGAATGTATTGATGTTTAAACCAAACAAGAAAAACATTGACTAGTGCTAAGAAATTGCAGTATTTTATAATGTATATTAAAATAAATTGAATTGTGAAGCATTTAACATGAGTTTACTGCCAACTTTTTAGTCTTATATCTTTATAAAACCACAGTCACCTTAAGAAGTGTGTACCCAAATAGCACTTTCTCAGTCTTAATGGAGTTATTCAATTTTGGATCTCAGTTTCTACTTCTGTAATATGAGAGGGTTAGAATTATGGATTTTAAAGATTCTTTAGTTCTACTTGTTTCAGGTTTTTTTTTCTATCCTGTAGTATTCTTTTATTTTATTTAACCAAGTGTGATTTAGATACTTTATCAGTTAATCGCCCCCAACCAACCTGAATAATTATTACTAACTCAATTCGTTACTCGTTACTCCTTTTCTCTGCTTGTCTAGATGTGACCAAAGACAGAATTCAAATACTGCACTTTCTTGAATTATTTTGGAAATGGGGACAAGCAGAAGGGAGGGAGGGCAGGAAAGAGGGAAGTCAAAAGAAAGAGTCCGCAGAATTATTTCTGGGGCTGTTTTGTCATTCATAGTAACTGCATGATAACAGCTGGCATGTCATGTGTGCTATAAAACAATGTTTTAGTCTCTTTATATAGACTAAATGTTAAAAAAGTCAAACAAACCAATAATTATCATATGTCTGTACATGGATATCAAGCAACCTACGCTCCTTCACAATGTCTTGCACAATTATATAATTTCTTCTGCTTTATTGAACTGACTTTATTTCTCCCAATAATCTTTGACATCCTCTCTCTTCTAATACCAGAAATGTCTTTCTAACCCATGCCATATTCAATGGATATATTAGGTTCACTGTCTCAATTTATTCTAATTACAGCACTGTAGGGTTTATATTATTATTGTATCCACTTCACAGACGAAGACCCTGGGCTGCATAGAAGTTAAACCATTTGCCCACGAAGTTTATCAACTTTCTTAGATTTTTCTCTGGCCTATGTGCTCTATTGCCAAAACATACTAATCTGGTTTTTCAGCTGATCCACATACCATATGTTCTCATTCTTCTGTGCGCTTGTAGATTTTCCCTTGCCTGGATGCCTTCCTCTCATATCACTGGTCTACCCTAGTTAACTCCCTCTCTCTTGTCAAAAATGCATCAGAGGTAACTTGGGAAGTCTTTTTCCATATTCTCTGGTAGGATCAATCACCCTTGAGTCTCCTTTGCACTTTGCATATTTTATTTGACTTACTTTTTTGTTTATGCTTTTGTTTCTCTGAATTGTTCCCTACTTGAGAAATACGGATCCATTTATCTTTGTCTTCATTGTTTATCACACTACTGACAGGGACTAGATACTCATTTATTGAGTCAATGCTGGGTAAGAACAAATCCTAGTTTATGAGAAATCTGGTGAGAATTATAATTCTTTATTTTATAAAGTTTAATATTTAATTATATTTGAACTTTCTTTTTTTAAATTAAAGTTTTTAGGGTGGCATCAGTTAATAACATTATATGTTTCAAGTGTAAATTCTCTAATACATCATCTATATATTGAATTGCGTGCTCACCACCCAAAGTCTAGTCTCCCTCAGTCACCAAATATGTGACCCCCCCTTTACCCTCTTCGTCTTTCCCCCACCCTTCTTCCCCTTTGGTAACCACTATACTGTTGTCTGTGTCTATGAGTTTGTTTTGTTTGTCCTTTCGTTGCTTTCTGTTTTCTATGCCACATATAAGTGAAATCATAGGGTTCTTGTCTTTTCATGTCTGATTTATCTCACTTAGCATGATACTCTCAAGACACATCCATGTTGTTGCAATGGCGATAATTCATTCTTTTTATGGCTGTGTAGTATTCCATTGTATTTATGTAGCACATTTTCTTTATCCAATCATACATCAAAGGACACTTAGGTTGTTTCCATGTCTTGGTTACCATGAATAATGCTGCAATGAACATAGGGATACACATATCTTTATGAACAAATGTTTGTAAATTATTCAGGTAGATATCCAGAAGATGGATTACTGGGTCACATGATAGCTCTATTCTTAAGTTTTTGAGGAAACTCCCTACTTTTTTTTTCCCTACTGATTGTAGCAATTTACATTTCCTCCAGCAGTGTGCATGGGTCCCTTTTCCCCCACAACCTATTCAACACTTGTTATTTCTTGTCTTATTGATGATAACCATTCTAACGTGTAAGCCAGTATGCCATTGTGGTTTTGATTTGCATTTCCCTTATAGCTACTGAGCATGTTTTCATGTATTTGTTGGCCCTCCATAGATCTTCTTGGGAAAGTTTCTGTTGATGTCCTCTGCCCATTTTTAATTGGAATGTTTGTTTTTTTGTTGTTGTTGAATTGTCTGAGTTTTTTATATATTTTGTATATTAGTCTCTTATTAGAAGTATTACTTGCAAATATCTTCTCCCATTTGGTTGGTTGGATTTTTGTTTTTTTGATGGTTTCTTTTGCTGTGCAGAAACTTTTTTAATTTGATGGAGTTTCATTCGTTATTTTTGCTATTACTTCCCGTCTTTATGAGGTCAAGTTTATGAGGCCCTCTTTGAGATCAAGGTCCATAAGTTTAGTACCTACGTTTTCTTCTATGTATTTCATTGTTGCAGGTCTTATATTTGTCTTTAATCTATCTTGAATTAATTTTTGTGTATGCTGCTAGATAACAGTCTAGTTTCATTCTTTTGCCTGTGGCTTTTCAATTTTCCCAGCACCTTATTTATATGAAAAGCCTTTCTCTTTTGCATTGTATGTTTTTGGCTCCTTTGTCAAATTAGTTACCCATATTTGAACTTTCTAAAACATTCATAACATTTTAATTTATATGGGCTTCTACCAGTCAAGATTGGAGCTGTGCATACCCATAATTCTGTGCATAATGCCACTCCCTTTCATGAAGTTCTTGTTTGTATCTTTTTTATTGGCATTCATATGTCAACCTCTGGCCCTAAGGTAGTTGGCTAATCAGTTGTCAGGTGAGCTCTGTTTTTTGCCCACAGTGGGGCACATAGAAAAATCATAAAATATAGTGAGGGACCTTAGAGTCCAGCTGGAGTGACATATCTAATATACAGAATATTTAGTTACGAATACTCTTAATCTGCAACTATAACACACGAGTGGGTTACTGAATACAGATCGAGGACCACTTGTAGTTAATTAGCCTAGTTATCCTAATACCACTCTGCAGGATACAACAAACTGTCATCCAAAACTATGTAGGGAGAAAAACCTCCATCTGTCACTCCTGTAGCAAGGTTATGAAACCAAACTCTCCTAGCATGGCAGAAGGCTTCCTTCTTTGGACAAATGCCATCTCAGACTTGTATTTAAAGTTCAGTGCATCAGGATAATTCGTGTCACTAATTCCATGGAACACCTTGGTCTTGCATGGTAGCCTTAAATTTTTCCGATCCTTTTGATTACTCATCACTATGTAATGTACCGGATTTTGCTGCTTATATTTCTATAGAGCTGCTACTTCATTTGTTGTTCTGCCTATTCTTATCCTAAATTTGTGTTTTAAAAAATTGATTCTGGTAATGTAAATTATCCCAGTGTCTTTTATTCCCCCCTTAACTTATCAAATAGCAGTTTTATTGCTTTTGTCCTTAGTTTTTTCTTAAAAGTGATTTTGAAAATGTGTAAGCTTAAATTTTGCCTTAATTGTAATATGTGCATTTGTGACTGTAGTTTTTTTCTTGAGCTTCAGAGGTTAATAGTATATGTGTGTATATGTGTGTATATTTTGTTCTCTCATAAGCTATTTCACTAAATACCTTCTACTTTTTTTTTCTTTTATATTTTTTCCTCTAGTAACATGAATACTAAAACATAAATAATTAACTAATATATGATATTCCTATAGGGGCAATGCATTTCTGCTGATTTTAATCATGAAAATTTTATGGACATATAATATAGTTTACTGTTGTGTTTTCACTTTGGATGTTTTCTTTATTGTTTATTTTAAGAAACTATACTTCCCTTATTTTCACAGGTAAAAAGATGGCCTATCAAAAGGTCAGTGCAGATCAAAGAGCTCCAGGACATTCACAGTACTTAGACAATGATGACCTTCAAGCCACTGCCCTTGACTTAGAGTGGGACATGGAAAAGGAACTGGAAGAACCTGGCTTTGATCAGTTCCAGCTAGACAGTGCTGAGACTCAGAACCTGGAGAACTCAGAGACTGCGGACCTCAATCTTGATTCCATTCAACCAGCAACTTCACCCAAAGGCAGGTTTCAACGACTTCAGGAAGAGTCTGACTATGCTACCCATTATACGAGATCTGCACCAAAGAGTAACCACTGCAACTTTTGCTGCCTTTTAAAAATACTTTGTACAGCCATCATTTTATTTATTTTTGGAATTTTGATAGGCTATTATGCACATGAAAATTGCCCTTCAAATGCTACATCTTCAGGAACACTTGATCTTCAGCTATACCAAGAGATTCTCAAGACAATCCAAGCAGAAGACATTAAGAAGTCTTTCAGGTAGGTATCGAAGAAATGGATGTTGGTAGGGTGCATTTCCTGGGAAAGGTGTTTCACAGAGAGTAGTGAGCTGGTGATCATAGTTTAAGGTTAATCTTGCAAGCTGATAAACATAACTTACCAGCATGTTCTTCATAGAGGGGGTACACATTTTCAGATTTATGATACTGTAATACAAATTTATGATGCCGTTTTATTAATTGATAATAAAAACTATAGCTACTATGGAGACTAAAAGACTTGAGCCAGTGCATTTTCTCCCTCTTGGGAAGCCCAAGTAGTCTAATGAGATTCAAAGACTGTTGGATGTACTTGTAATAAAAACTAAGGCATTAACCATATGATTGCATTTTTAATGACATCAGAATAAAGAAAACCTTCTTTATGGGCAGAAGTAATTATCTCTTATGGTCAGGAGCTAAGACAAGCACTGGTAAAATTTGATCCCCTGCATCCCTGAGCATCCTAATAAGCATATTTTTATTGAAACACATTGAGTTTTATATATCAGACAATTCTAAAAGCTGACCTCTCTTTTTAAGGTAAGTTTGCATATGACTTGTCTAGCTAGAACCTGTTGACTTTTGATAAGAAACTATTCTTTATTAGGTCTTAATTATGAGTTCTTGAGAAAAACTCCACTGATGTCATATAACCAATGGGTAACTTGAAAATTTTGTTGCTTGTTATATTATCATACATGTTCTTCTAAAGTGTTCCCCAGTTTACATGTTCATTTAAGTGAGGAACTGTAAGGGGAAGATTAGATATTAACTTCCACATATATTTTTCATGTTTGTTAAGAAAAGATAGCCATAGATGAATCATATGAATATTGTTTGTAGGTAAAGGAGAGGATGCTACTTTTCTAGTATATTCTTTCTGGATTACGCTGACTTATTACAGCCAAGATATAGGCATGTGTTTATTTCTAGGGATTGTCTAAGGAAAATACCTACTGAAAATGGATCGTTTAATCTAAAATATCACATGTATTGATGTTGGTGAATTATTATTCTCTTCCTGAATATCATATTGGAATGACTAATTGGAATTTGCTTCCTACCCTCTTCTGTGTCTGCTATTCAATGTAGCATAAGCATCCCCAAATATTCAATATGCAGATAACACTTTCTATGGTATTTCCCAATGTAAAATTGTTTATACTGAATTGACGTGAAAGATATCTATTGTAGTATAATGAGTTATTGTATCAGTCAGTATCCAACCAGGAGCATAGAAAACTGAATATTTAAAGCAGAGAAATTCTATCTGTGATGAAAAACTGAGAATCCAATCTGGGGACACCGAGGCAGTCCAGAAATTAACAACAAAATGAAACCATTACTGAACCTAGGCTGGAGAAACAAAGGGAGTTGGGAGTAACTTGGTAGAATTTGGAACTTTCTGCATACACAAATGTATGTGTGTGTGTGTGTGTGTGTGTGTGTGTGTGTGTGTGTGTGTGAGGTGTCTCAGCCAGAGACACAACTGAAGACAGAGAGTAAGAAGTACCACAGCTTCTCCCATCCTCCCGCCTTGCAGTGTTTTG